GGTTTTTGCATTACCACTCCCCTTGCCCATTGAGTCATTCGGACCGGGCGTTAGTTTGGAATGGCTTTTCTTCTTCTCGGGGATTGGTGTTGCGTTACTTCTCCCCACCGTCCAGAGAGCTGTACGTTTTCCTTGATGTGTTACGGCTTTACTTCCTCTCCGGGAGTAGTCTTGAGCATTACCTCCCCCACCGTTCCTGTGAGTTGTACGGGCATGGGTCGAAGCAGCTTTGCTTCCTCTCCGGGGAAAGGTGTTGCGTTACCTCACCCCACCGTTCAGGGAGTAGTTCAGTCGGGACTGTGTCGGGACGAAACGGTCACCTAGGAGCGGCTTTCTTAAGGCCGCATGTTTTTAATCCTCAACGAGGGTGTTTTGGCACCCACACCTCATATCCATTATCGGCGACGCGTCATCATGTTAGCGCGCAACTTCCGTTGCGTTGGAAGTCATGCGTTTGGTCGGGATTTTTTCGCTTCAGGAGGAAACCCCCCTACTGGTCCGTCACGCCACGAAGAGGCAAAATCCCATGCAACACCACCGAGCCAGTGATGCTGAGCTTTGACCTCACAGTGCTCGGTTTCGGCCCGACGGAATTTCTTCTTCTAAAGCGTTCGCCTCTAAGTTTACTTTGTAATCTTTGCCTTTTTAAAAAATGATTCACATCGCTCGTTAGAAATACTCCAAGAGTGACTCAGAAAGTCCAGCTACACTTGTGTCGGTTACTTTCAGGAACCCTACAGTACAGAATATGTATATTAGGAAATTGTGGCGACAGCGAGCCGTCAAGCCAAAGCTCTTAATGCGCCCCCCAAAGCACCACCCTCAAGCCCCTAACTATCGGGCCGCGAAGAGGCATCTTGGAGATCTCCCGCAGTTCACAACTTCCATCAGTTGACCAGTTTTATTGGGGGGAGGGGGATGGGCATCTCACACATCAGCAGTTGACTTTCCCATGGATCGGGTTGGTGCTTTTACGTCCTAATATATCCACCCCCCCCCCTTTCCTGCCCATCGCGGTGAAGCGTCGGACGCCCTCTAACAGGGTTTTCTAAAGTGTGTTTCTACCTTGTAAATAGTTCAGGACACTACAAAGTACTGTATTCACTGCCTTGTCCTTACAAATTTCCACGAAACGAATGATCGTGGTCATTAGCCCTTGGCGTCTTGATTTCATTCCAGTACCATACTGTAGCTTTTAACATCCTTTGCACGATTGGTAATTTCTTTCAGAATGCTATCAGAAGACTTTCATTTTGACGTTCAGGCGCCACCTAAAGGGCCAGTTACTTTATAAAACCATTTAGATTTAATCAGTTAATACCGGTACCAAATGACAGTTCATTTGCAGAATCTGAATATTTTTTTTGTGCAACAAAGTAAAGCCTATAGGTTGCATTAGAATAAGTCATTGATAAAATTATCATTTAAAATTTTAAAAGTAAAGAGATTATTGAATTAATTAAACTGTATACTTCCACCGACTGCGTCACCAAAAAAATTTAGTCGTTCCTCCAACCATAGATGCCAACTGTGTCAGTCGTTCCTCCCACCATTGATGCCAACCGCGTCAGTCGTTCCTCCTTCCATTGATGCCAACCGTGTCAGTCGTTCCTCCTTCCATTGATGCCAAACGTGTCAGTCGTTCCTCCCACCATTGATGCCAACCGTGTCAGTCGTTCCTCCTTCCATTGATGCCAAACGTGTCAGTCGTTCCTCCCACCATTGATGCCAACCGTGTCAGTCGTTCCTCCTTCCATTAATGCCAACCGTGTCAGTCGTTCCTCCTTCCATTGATGCCAAGCGTGTCAGTCGTTCCTCCTTCCATTGATGCCAACCGTGTCAGTCGTTCCTCCTTCCATTGATGCCAACCGTGCTTATGTGGCGACTCTTCTTTTCACGGAAACGCTCGTAAATAAATAGTTTCTTTTTATTTTGTTCCCACATCACAATTTCGGGCCCCTAATCAACGGGGGCCCCTTGCAGGGCCCACGTGACGGCTTGGTTTACTGGTCCGCCCTTTTTTTTCTTTATCTTTATATCGAGGGGGAGGCTATTTAATTTTCAGGCTTAGCCCCGAGTGCTATTTTTCCTCGGCACGACCATGATGCTGTTTCATTTTATTTATTTTTTAAACCCTACACAGAAACATTAGCATCGTATTTTATAGGCCTACTAATTATACTAAAATACTTTGACCAAGTTTCCAAACTGGATTATTGTTAGTTAGATCCTAAAGTGGAAAGGGGCCTTCTCCATCTCTGCCCCGTCTTGCATAACGGGTATATCAATAAAACATAAAACTAAATGTTTGTTTTTACTATTACTATTACTAGGGTTAATGTTATAGATTGCTGCATGTACAACGTCAATCCTTTCATTTGCAGGTAAACATGCATGTGCATTTTATTGTATAGTAAATAAAAAGGGATGTGGTGCGATCCAAAAATCAGTCACATCTCATCTGGAAACTGTTAAAAAAAAAAAAAAATCATAATTTAACTTTAACTTGTTTCCCCCCCCCCATATACATAATTGACTGCTGGGGGGGGGGGGGCGGCAGTGCCAGTTTGTTTATTGTTGGACATACTTTTTGCTCGGGGGGCGCATTGAAATTGAAACAGAATACTAAACTAAAACTACGAAACTTTTATCTTGGACATTAGATCGAAAAGGACGCCCAATCTCCCTAAATCTACTCTACTGTAATATCGGTACGGTTCTACACTAGCGAGGTAGCCCACCATTTTTTTATTAGTAAATTTAGCATAGACGGGTGTATAAGTATAAATTAAAATCATTTAACAAATTGTGTGACCATGTTCTTTGGAGATTTAGCGTGCCTGTGTAAAGTGAATACTTTTTACGTACAAAAAGTAAGTTCGACTTAATTTCATTTCCCACACGCGAGATTTATTACCGGTACCGTATTAATATTACTACGGTCCCAGTCAGTAGTATATTACTACCGGCACTAAATACGTTACTGATAATAATAGTACAGGTAGCAGTTTTACATACTTGTTAAATATTCACTTGAGAATAATCTTTAAATTTAATTACTAAATTACCAGTGCCGGTACATTAAGTTCTAATGTCGGGTATACTATCCAGATGGTAAAGCTGAGACAACTGCTTGTGAGAACTAGACGTCAACTCATAGCCTTTCTAAGCAAAATAGTACCGGTATTTGAATTTGATACCCGAAAACAACAAAAATATATTACCATTAATGAAATTTCTGTGATAATCAGCTCAGAAGAATAGTGTTGAAGTTGCAATTTAATGTAATGCATTTAGTTTATAGATCTAATACAAATACAATTTATACAAACAGACAGCACTAATCTCCCTAACATTCAAAAGAAAGAAGTAAATAAACAATCAGGTATTTTTTAAGTTTATTACAACACAATTGTTTTTATTGACATCAAAGGTATGAACAGGGGTGATACAATGAACTGATGAATATCATGGACAAAATTAAAGGACAAAACAATGGCCATGTTCAAGAATTTTGTTCATTCTCTATACTACAGAGATACAATGGTAACAGCACTGTCAACGATGAATATCACCAATGAAATGACACCTACACAAAATAAAAGACAGTTACACTGTCAAAAGATGACAATCATGGCGGCTATAAAAATAGAGTTAAACCAAAAAAAAAAAAAAAAAAAAAAAAAAAAAAAAAAAAAAAAATTACACTGAAAAAAAAAAAAAAACATGGGGGATAAAAAAAAAGATTAAAAACAAAAAAAAAAAAAAAAAAAGTGTCATGCATGATGAACAGCTGCCAACAGCTGTCAAAATGATTTATTTAAAAACAACACAAAAAAAAAAAAAAAAAAAAAACAATAAAAAAAAAAAAACAAAAGGGGAAAAAAAAAAAAAGAAAAAAAAAAAAAAAAAAAAAAAAAAGTGTCATGCATGATGAACAGCTGCCAACAGCTGTCAAAATGATTTATTTTTCACAAGATAAAATAGGCAGTATACTACTGTGACAAAGAACACTGTTTACAGATGGTACCAACAACTTAATGTGAACAACAATCAACCCACCAAGGCACCCAACATTCATCCATTCACTTACTTTCTTACAACTAAAAATATTATTAAAAAAAACAAACCACATGAACAGACCTAGAGCCATAAAATGAATTTTTATGCCTGTCACCCATTCCAATGATGACAGTGAACCAATGATAATGGTACAAGTTAAAAATTCTAAACTTTGATGTACACCTGAATACAACAGATGTATTACGGTTAAAACACACCACCAGTAATCAATGCAAGTGCACATCACCTAGTCAGCATAACAGATCAGGAAAAATGGAATTTTGAGACACTGCTATGACTTTAAACAATGTCCCTTATAAATGGGGGTTACATGGTGCCCAGCCACTATAGACAAATTGTGTATTGAAACTCTGAGAAGACCAGTGTCTTAATATCTCTCAAATGTACTGAATAAATAAAAGACTTGAAACTACTACATTAATGCAATGACAGGTCCACTATAAAAAAAATTAAATTTTGCTTACCAGTACATTACCGGTATATTGTAAAATAACTTTAAGTCAGATCTTTCTAAGTATCCGGTATATAACTTTTAAAAAATCATTGGCTTTGAATTCTGTCAAGTATCATGAGGGAAATTTTCATTTCCAACAGTCTCTCATACCATTCCATAAGTAGTGATGTAAATATGTGTGAATGTTATAAAAAAATATGTACAAAACTCCTGACATGTAGATTTATTCATCATCATCTTCATCATCATCGTCTTCTTCCTCATCATCATCTTCATCCTCCTCTTCTTCAACCACTTGTTTAGCTTTCTTTGCTGGAGGACCTCCACTTGCACCACCACCAGTCTGAGGGAGAAAATAAGACATATTGAGGCAAGCTGCTCATACCCTATTACTACCAAATTAATACACAATACAATTATTGCTATTTTTCTCTCTTAAAAAAATAAATAAATCAATAACAGCCTAACTTACCTTTCTGTAGTCTGTCATTGCAGATTCATACTTCTTGGATTCCTCCAATGCTCGCTTTTCATATGGCTTCTTATCCTCATTGCTCAATGCCCTCCATTCTTCACCAGCTAATCAATGAGACATAAACATATTAATACATGTATTTAGCTCAACATGTCGCAAAATAAATCAGTACTGGCACAAACCTCATACATTTTTAATATTAAAAGCCTGTTGTATATCTTCCTTATATAAAACTGACATGTAGATGTAGGGAAACACTCACCCATTTTTAACAACTCTTTGTGCTCAATGCCTTTGTTTGCCATACGAATACGGAAATCTGCCAAAAACAAGAAATAGGCTGTGGGGGGTCTTTTAGGTTTGTTGGGATCAACAGTCTTGCCCTTGTATGCTGCCATCTGGAAAAAATTTATATAAAAACACTTTAAAAAATTAACTTACAGATGAAGCCATACATATACATTTGAATGCCCAATGGGATAACTGAAGGTAATGGTAAAAAGCCGGAAAGAAATGACAGGAGATAAAAGATAAATAATAAAAAGGCACACACACACACACATATATATATAAAATTAAGCCAATACACACCTCTTGTTCATATCGTTTTTTGTCATCAGCTGCAGCAGCCTCAAATGGCTTTTTCTTGTCAGTGGTAAGAGACCTCCATTTTTCAGAAGCCTCCTTGGTGAATTCTGCAATCTGAAGAAAAAATATATTTTGTTAAAAAACATAGCAACAATTGAATAGATCTATGATAATTAACCTGTTTGAAAAAGTACCTATAAAAATGCAACAAGTATTAAGAAACATTTTTAAACTATGCTACCTTGGTTGGGGCTTTCCCAGCTTTAGCTGCTTCCTTACGACACTGGGCAAGAAAGTAGAAGTATGCAGATGTTGCCCGCTTTGGCTTATTGGCATCCTTGACCTTCTTTTTGGAATTTTTTCCTAGAGATCCCTTTGGGCGACCTGGCAAGCAGAAAATAATTTAAATAATAAAAAAAAACTACACCCCAAGTGTAAAATAAAAAGGGGAGTAAAAAGTAAAAGCACAATTCCATTATATCGAAACGTATTCTCTCCCTTTAATGTACCACATTTAAAAACGCAACAATTTTAGAATTTGAAAAATAAACTTTATCATCACCAAAGTTAACAACCCCAAAACAGTCCAGAATGAGATAAGACAAAACTTTGTCATCTGTTTCCACAATAACTCAAAAATACAAGACTCACATTTGATGAGCCTCAACAATGTAACAAATTAAGTAAATAAAACTAATGGCTGAAAACTTAAACACACAAGTTTCTTCACATAATCAAATAAGCTAACTGATCCTATTACAGACATCTTACAGAAGCATTGGTTCAGAAGGATACAAGACCAAGGCCCCGAGATACCTATTACTGACATCATAAGAATCTTATAAAACGATAGTTTTGGCTTAACTATAACAAAGGAGACCAGAGAATATCTACAAACTTTCCCCACCCCCTAGAAGTTAATAAAGTAAGTTCAGTTGTGCTCTGAAAATGGAAGAAAATTAAGTGTCAATGCTTCGTGGCCAGATTAAAATTTAAACTCATGGAAATGGCAAGAAACAGCAATTTCTGGATCCTGTTACAAAGATTCCAGATGTTAGAAGTTTAGGACACTGGCTTGCTTACGTTTAGAGTCTGAAAATGGAAGAAATTTAGTGTCAAGCATATGCATGGAGGTGCAGGTCTTGTAGACGTAAATGGTAAAATTGGAAGTCCAGGCTATGAAAGGAACTCTCAAGCCTACTGCCTTGTAAAATATCACTCCACCTGCCTGCTTGACTAGTGATTATTGTTAGCACTTTTGGGCCACCCAAGATTCTCCTATTCCTAACAAACTAAGTATGTTTATGATCACCCATTTCATGCAGTTTAAATTTAAAATAGGGCAGCACATCCCTCAATTTGAAAAAGAAACTTAACTGATCTCAACCAGGTCTAGAGCCAAAATAATGTGATAGTTATGTATGATTGTATCAGAGTTACTGACTACTGATAGTAATTAAAGTTGAAGAAATTGGGGCAAAGTAAAACTAAGCTGCAGCCTAAGAAGGGGGAAAAAATTGACCCATTTTGACACACCAGGTAGCATCAGCATGGTTTGAAAAAAAATGATCAAATCAAAATGAACGACAAATTTACCTAACAAACTAATGTTGAAATGAAAAGTGGGATTTTGAAATAATTATGAGTAGGTTGGAATGGATCACTAGCCTAAATATGGCATGGTCTGTTGCAGGGAGTATAAATAATTATAAAATTAAGCTATCCTACTCCAAGTGCAGCTTTGAATAAAATAACTATTTAAATTTAACAAATCAGAACAGCAAAAACCTAAAGAAAATGTTCAATTCATATTATGCACACAAAAAAAAAAGCGCCATCTTTCAAACTTGCGGCCATACGACCGCTTTGAAAAAAGACAACACTTTTCTCTTGATTCCCGGCCGACCTTGGAACAAAGAAAAACTGTTTGCAAACCCATTGATTTTTCATAAATAAATCATTTTATTACACCTTTCCTCAAATAATATTACATTAATAATATTTCCTTCCACATTTACATTCATTTCTCTATCTAACAGTAATAGTTTTAGTGCAGTGTATCAGAACAGTAAAATGTAGAGGAAATATAGGCCCACTATGTTTCTCTGTTAAAAGCGCGCCCGAAACGCAAACCAAGATGGCTAAAGAAGAAAGAAGCCGGTGGCCTGCATTCGTCGACCAAGTTTGACACAAAAACTTAAATTTACAAGTTCAACAATTGGGAGCACCTAAAAACTTCACTTATCTACCATTTCAAACGGTTTGCATAATTTTACTTAACAATTTCAATTTATAAAATCAGAAATAAAACACTTACCCATGGTAAAGAGTATTCTGTATAGGGATAGAGAGGACTGAGTGAAGCTTCGGCACAGACTACAGACGCTATGACGTTCAACTACAAGTCTGAATAAACTATTCACGTGAACTATATAACACAAAGAGACCCGTATGCGCTATTCCCGCTTATACATTTAATACTTAAAGGGAAGCAATCCTATTTAACAACAAGTCAAATGAAATGTCAATCACCTCCCATTTTTAAAATTTTCAGTCCTAAAAAAGTAATTTATTTTAAATAAAGTGTCATTTTTATCCTGACTTAAACAAAAAATAAAAAAAATCTTTTGAAATATCGCTGATACTAATACTGCAAATATAAAGTACCGAAAACTCCTAAAAGTGCGATAGTCTAAAAATACATATGAATGTGTAGGATAAATTGAGATTCCATAATTTGCTATAATCATTCCACTGATTTTTAACAGGTAGTTTATTACTTTATTAGTGTTTAGTATTTTAAATAAAATAAATATTGCTTACAATATAATATATATTCGGAAGACTAACACTTTTCGCTCATTGCATATTAAAAAGTTTCCGTGGTTTTTGTAAGAAAGGTCAATCATAAATGTACATAAATAGACAATTATGTTTTACACGCGACTGTGGACGCGCTACGCTGTTATAACTTATAGAACAACCAAGACATCACAGTGTTTATAATTAGAGAATAGAAGTATTGAAAACAATTTTTTTTTTTAAAGTTTCGTTTTTGAAATAACATTCATCAGCCGGAGTCAGTAATGATGGGGTAAAAGGGTCATTTGGTCATGGACTAGAGCAGTGGTCCCCAGATGGCGGTCCGTGGACCTTCACCGATCCGCATGCCCAACGCAGCCGGTCTCCATAACATAAATATTTATTGTCAAATAGAAATAAAAGTATAACAATAAATCATGCACCGGTCCCTGGTAAAATTTCGAAACTTGTTCACCGGTCCGCCAAACTTAAACGTTTGGGAACCACTGGACTAGAGGATTTGATACTAGAGATGGGAAATCGAGCCCTCTTTTAGAAGTTCGGTTCGGTCGTCAGCTGAGTTCGGCAACTTTAAATAAATTTGACGTTAATTTAGATTTAAAAAAACAAAAAAAACAAAAAATAAAAAATAAAAACCTTTTATTATAAATATCATGATTTATAAAGTAATTCACAAAAAATAAGAACATACATTTTCTTAAGCTTTTTGTCACCCCCTTCCACGATAAAACCTCTGCAGTTGGCCAAAGATGCTGCCCCTCTATATCAGGAAAAAAGTGCCGCCCAGGGTGGTAGCCACCCTCCTTCGTACCCCCTTCCTACGCCACTGCTTGTAGGATCAACCTGCAGCGTTTTTTCCCACGTATATATCGCGTCATCTAGGTGTTGCCAACTGTAAATATTTTTTTTAAATTGATAAATAAATACTTTTAAAATAGGCCTACCGGTGTCTATTTTTGTTTGTTTTGAACGATTTTTTGACAATCGATGAATAAGAGTCGGTCACATAGTGCTTTTGTTTAATAACCAATATCAAGCCGATGCGCGAAAGAGTGTTGGCGGAAGAGAGATGGGTGGGGCAGTGGCGTAGCGAAGGTTGGTGTCACCCGGTGCGGTAAACTCATGGTGTCACTCCCCCCCCCCTTTCTATGATCGATTTTTTTCTTGTTAAAATAAGTCCACAGTATAGCGTCAACCTTGAACTTTTAATAAAGCACGCATTTGGATTGGTTACATTTGTGAAAAATGTATGTGTGATCGGTTATTCTTTTATGAATCTCGGTTTTTGCGAGCAATGTGTGCCCTGTAAATATGCAATTTTTCAATCGGGTGTCACCCCTAAAATGGTGTCACCCGGTGCGGTCCGCACCCCCCGCACCTGCCTCGCTACGCCACTGGTTTAGGAGATGATGTTTTTTTTAATTTTTAAAAAGATAATTTTTTGGTTTACAAAAATCGTTTAGCAATTTGATTTTCTAGTTAAACCTCGTTGAACCTGCTGCTGAAAATAAAATCCAAACAAACGATGTGCACGCGTATTTATTTATTCTTNGGGGGGGGGGGGGGGGGGTGGAGGGTTTACAAAAACACGTGAGATAATACCGTAGTGTGAAGCCGCCATTGTCCGGCTGTTGGAGTTTCCATAAATTGTTGAAACTGAGAACATATTTCCTCAACGTTTCGGGCAGTTGGAGCGTTTAAAGATGGGGGGGGTGAAAAAGGGGGGGGGGGGGAAAGCGACGGCACCCACCGAAGTATCATCAGCAAAAGTGGGGAACGGTTTGGAGAGGGGTCCGAGCCCGCGACCTGGATTTAAAAAAAACAAAAACAATAATAATAATTTCAGAATGCAGGGATACATTTGGCGCTCAATTTAATTTTGTTTTGAATTATTCTACACTTAACTGGAGAACAACAGAGGGAATGGTAGTGGACATTGAGATTCCCTTGACCTATCAGTGGTTATAAAAATCCTTTAATTTAAATCTGATTTCTCAGCTTTCCCCATACTTCAATTCCAGACAAAGCCAAATCAAGCAAAAAAAAAAAAAAAATCACCAGCTCCCCGGGTGATGGGACTCGTCAACCTTGGATGGCAACTCATCTAAGAGAAGGAAACTCTGAAATCAAAACCCAGAGATGGAGTCCCGTAGGCGGATAACATTGGCACAGTGAAACATTCCTACAACTCCTGCGACGCCACTGGTGCCAAGCTGTATCATCCACACGATGTTCCCTTGGGTTATCCAGCGGCGTGGAGAGAGGCGATTTGCTGTTGGGAACCAGCTCATAATCATAGTAGAATAATCCCAGGCCTTGTGGATTTCGTCCTGCGAAGTCTTCACCAGTGTGACATTGCGACGGACGGATGCCAGCAATAACAATTTAAAGAAAAAAAGAATCCCCCCCCCCCCAAAAAAAAAAAAAAAAAAAAAAAAAAAAAAAAAAAAAAAAAAACAAAACAAAAAAAGAAAAAAAAAAAAAAAAAAAAATAAAAAAAATTTAAAAAAAAAAAAAACCCCCCCCCCCCCAAAAAAAAAAAAATCATAAAAAAAAAAATGTTGATTATACAGTACCACACGCTATGCGCTGAATTATAAAGCCAAGAAGCTCTAGTACACAGGTTCTCAAGCGTTTTCAAGTCACGACCACTGTTAAAATAAGTTAAATAAAAATAAAGTGAATGAACGTCACCGGTATATATTGAAGAAAAAAAAAGGGCTCTTAATTACTTGCAGATATTTCGTGATGGATTCGAAACTAGAATTTGCAACCCGTAAAGAATGCCAAACTCAAATAAAGTGTAAATGTTATTTCCACAGGCGGTCATAACCACAGTTACGACTTTTTAACAAGCATAGTATTAGCTAGTTATCTATTAGGACCTACTATGGCTCTAAGCATGGGAAAATGAAGTAACTAGTAAGCAAGTAACCAACTTCTCAACTAACCTTAACAAAGTTTTTCATTCATTCATAGTCTAGACAAATAAAACAATTTAGCTATTATAAAAACCAGCTCTTGTATCGTTTAATTCAGTTTATAACATATTTTGAATTGAATTATTTATGTTATCCCAGGATTCTCCAGGATAACCATTCTCGTCCTGCGATTAGAGTGAACTTTGTCCCGTTTTCCCTGGATAAGCAAAAACCATGTGTGAAAACATTTGAATCCATGAATAAATAAATGACGAAAGGCATTTTAAAGCCAATGGCTAATATGACAGATTATGACACATAAAAGTTTATAAAGTTAAATTATGCTGCAGTAAGCAGCAGCGTAGCTTCAGTTGGTGCCACCCGGGGTGGGCCAAACTATTTGCTACCCCGCTTACAAGAAAAAATGCAACTGTGCAGCTGGCCAAAAATGCCGTCTCATTATACAAAGAAATTAGTGCCGCCTGGGGAGAACCGCCCCCCTCCCCACCCCTTCCTATACGCCACTGACTCCAAGCTGTGTGGAAATTTAGGATAACCTCAGGATACGTCATCTAAGCCATTTATTGATATTAATGTAACATCAATAAAATGATAGCAGTAGTAATACTGAGGCTCTATCAAGGTAGCCTGCTCAGATACATATTTAAAAAAAAAAAAACGGGATAGAGACCAATTATCTATAACTATAAGTATATACACATGAATCTGCTAGATTGGAAAGGGTTAGTGTCCTTCGGGGCTCTGGGTGCTGTCAGCTAAAGGGCTCATAGCTACATAAAAAAATTATATAAAGAATCCATGTGAAAAGGAGACAATGGTTCGCCGAAGTCGCTTAACGCCCGGATCCGAGGCCCCTTGATCATCGTGGAACCCCCGGGCATTGCACCCCCATTCCCCCCACTTTGCCCAAAGGATAATTTCAATCATGCATCAAAATATATATCTCCTTCCAACCCAACACCCGATGGTTCCCTAGTAAAGAATTTTCTCGCCTAGACTATCACTATCAAGCGGGAGCAGAAAACTTACCTGGATTGGAATATGGCAGATAACGGCCCGTCTTGGGAGGACCGCTAATCAATATATTTTAAACCACACAATGTTACACGCAATACAATACAACTTTCACCAAAGACGCACGCCCACATACACTAACCGAAAGAAAAGTGTTTTTTTCCTTATATTTCAGTGAGGTGACCTAGTTAAATTCAATAACATTTGAAGTGCAATTTAAAAAAAAAAAGAAATTTGCATCCCATCTAATTAGGTTCTGTCCTCAAACTTCTTTGTACCATCCATTAATAAAACTGTTTGAGATGATTAAAAAAAAAAAAAATATTTTAATTTCTTTTTGGTCTTTTAATTTTTTTTTTTTTTTTTTTTTTACAAAATATTGGAATATTACGAATAGGTTGCCAGGTTGTGTTGCCATCGAGTTTTAATTTTAAGAGCGTCGATAAAATTCAACTTTATTGTGGTTCTTGGGACATCATTATCTTTCCTTTCTATTCATGAGGGATTTTAAAATGATTACAGTTGTTGTTTGTCTCCTAATTCAACTGTTCAACAAAATGCAACTCCTCTTGTAGTTTCTCCAATTTGATGTAAGTACTGGTATGTAAAATATATTTACTGAAATATCTTTATCATGAGACCCTTGTCAGTATGTGACTAAAGGTTAGCTTAAACGCGTTCGTTTAAAAAGTAATTTTTTACTACAAGTTTAAGGAATATATTAAAACAACAAAAGTATCAACATGAAATAGCAGAGAAGTAATACATTTCTATGAATGATTTATTTATACCCACCTCCATCATCTACAGCTTGGATGTCATTTTTTTAAAAATTAAATACATTGCTATTTAATGAGAGGCGATACCATATTAATTATTATGTATGCGGTTGACAAACCTGGCAACTAATTATTAACAGTTGGGGAGGGGGTTGGGTGAAATGTTTTGAAATCAGGAGGGTGTGTGGCGCTGAAAAAAAAAAAGAAGAAGATAAGAACCACTGACAGTAATGTTTTCAATAATGGGTGAAATGTTGATGCAAAAAGTTAATGTTTAAACTTTCTTATGGAAATATTCTTGTTCTCCAGCGTGCCTACTGCATAGTGTACGATTTGAGCTTCACCTCTCTGGAGAACTATCGTCTGTAGATTATGTATATTGAAGGAGCTTTACGTATTCAAAATAATATGTACGTATATTGAAGGAGCTTCACGCATGTAAGAGACTATGTACGTATATTGAAGGAGCTTCACGTATCTAAAATACTATGAACGTATATTGAAGGAGCTTCACCTATCCAAAATACGATGTACGTTTATTGAAGGAGCTTCACGCATCTAAGAGACTATGTACGTTTATTGAAGAAACTTCACGTATCTAAAATACTATGTACGTTTATTGAAGGAGCTTCACGTATCTAAAATACTATGTACGTTTATTGAAGGAGCTTCACGTATCTAAAATACTATGTACGTAAATTGAAGGAGCTTTACGTATCTAAAATACTATGTACGTTTATTGAAGGAGCTTCACGTATCTAAAAGACTATGTACGTTTATTGAAGAAACTTCACGTATCTAAAATACTATGTACGTTTATTGAAGGAGCTTCACGTATCTAAAATACTATGTACGTATATTGAAGGAGCTTCACGTATCTAAAATACTATGTACGTAAATTGAAGGAGCTTTACGTATCTAAAATACTATGTACGTTTATTGAAGGAGCTTCACGTATCTAAAAGACTATGTACGTTTATTGAAGGAGCTTCACGTATCTAAAATACTATGTACGTTTATTGAAGGAGCTTCACATATCTAGAATGTTATGTACGTACCAGTATATTGAAGAAGCTTCACGTATCTAAAATACTATATAGGCATATTTAAGGAGATCAAGTATGTGCAATATTATATACTAATTTTAAAGGAGCATCACATCTCTAGAAATTTTATACGAACACCGAAAGCGCTTGGTGTCTCTGAAATAATATACTATATATGAGTGTTGCAACTTGTTCTTTCGAATACAGAAATTATGTCAAAACTTGACAGCTTCCCAAACGTGACGGCAGCAACGCTGAACTCAACGCAGGGCATAAGCACAACCGAATACTTAGTCATAGTAGGCAACATCCTGGTCTGCTGCATGGCACTGTTCAACAACTGTCTCCTTCTGGTCACCCTGTCCACCAACCGCAGCCTGTGGTCTTACACCAACGCCTACATCGCCAGTCTCGCGGTCGCGGACTTGCTCCTGGGGCTAATGCTCTTCATCCGCAACTTCTGGCTCTTCCCCAGCACGGAGTGGGTCTTTGAGAACCTCGTGATCGCCTGCGTGCCCGTCACGTGCCTGGTTTACATCAGCGCGATGGAGTCGCTCGCATGCCTCGTCCTCATGTCTGCCGACAGGTATCTCTACATCGTTCATCCGTTCTGGTATGAGTTAAAGATCACCCCCAGAGTCACACGCGTCCTCATTGCGCTGTCCTGGTGCATTTCGATATCTCTCGGGATATTACCCATGTGGTTCCACAACTTTACGCCAAAACTCGGGTGCCAGCCCATGTTAATAATATCAAAATCCTACCTCTTGGGATGCCTTTGTGTTTACTTTTTGTCGCCTCCGTCGCGATAGCGTTCATGTACGGCCGCGTTTTCTGTGTTTGGAAACAACAGCGGAGGAGGATTGACAACTTGGCAGCGCAGGTGGCGCGCACCAGAAGAGAGTCGTCTCGGTGGCAGGTCATCCGGTTTCTGTTGTTAGTTTGCGGGCTGTTTTTCCTCTGCTGGTTGCCGTTGCTGGTGTCTGTTATTTTCTACTTCACGCTGGGAATCAATGAGAATGTCATTAGCATAACCGTTAGCATAGCTGCTTTCTATTCCTGTCTCAACCTCTACGTGTACATGGCAATGAGCAAGAATTTCAAGACAGCTGTGCTTCGGATAGTTTGCTTCGGTAATGGTTGTCGGGGAAAGATCTTGACGGTGACAGGGGAGGTCAGCACCCACGGACAGGTAATCGATAGCGCATACAGGGGCGCAGATGTCATTAGCCTAAACATACGTCAAAGCCGTGGGGATAAAATGAATTGAATGTCACCGTACAATCCTCCCATGATAATACGAGGCACCAGAAAGTATCAAAAGGATCCAGCGAAAGACAGAAATTGACTCTCAGTATATAATACCTCAATCCTAATAAGACCCAGGTCATGACAAATGAAATGACAAGAGGAGATGAAGATGACACAGTCACCCTGAACAGCAGCTCACTGGAAGTTGTTGCATAGTTTGAATAACTCTTGTGCAAGGTGGCAATGGATTGATCCTGATAAGGAAATCAATGACAAAACAAATTTGGCATTTGCTGACATCCATTAGACCAGCGGTCGGGTCTCAACCTGTTGGTCGCGACCCCTTTGGAGAGTCGAACAATTCTTACACAGGGGTCGCCTAAGACCATCGGAAAACATATATTTATGAAGTAACAACAACAATAATTTTATGGTTGGGGGTCACTACAACGCGAGGGACTGTATTAAAGGGTCTCGACATTTGGAAGGTTGAGAACCACTGCATTAGACTAAATAAAATCAACTACAGCCTTCTCACCAAAAGCAGAAAAGTAATGTCTTTACCAAAGTGATGAAAGACCATTAGTATCTATAAAATATTCTATATAAAATTCATTAAAAAGACGATCTCCGATGAAGAGCTGATGGCTTTGTCACGCCCGTAAATTCGTAAATTACCTTCAAGATCAGTTCCCTGGATGGCAAAAATAAGTGGCATGGACAAAACCAACATGTGTGATTGGGAGGACCCAAAGAGCGGTTGGAAAACAAAAAAGAAACACGACCCTGAAGACAGCTGCTACAGAAGACAGCTGCTACAGAAGACAGCTGCTACAGAAGACAGCTGCTACAGAAGACAGCTGCTACAGAAGACAGCTGCCACAGAAGCAGCTGCCACCACAGAAGCAGCTGGTAAACAGAGGATACTGTATGAGGGACTGCGTTCAAGCCATCTGTGTTATAACTGTCCTTTCTTTTCTATTCAATGCTAAACATATCTTGTTCCACTATTTATTTGGTAAACAGAGCTGTGGCAGAAGTGGTACTTATTGGCCATTTCTTCAAGCACCACTCAGTTGTGAGGGCTGAATTAATAAATTCTATGTCATGTACCGGGTAGTTCATTTTCTATGAGGGAAATGCAAGATATCGGTTTTTAAATTAGGGAAAAGGTTTGATTTCATCAAAGGTAGAGCTTGTTTAATTTAAAAAAAAAAGAACTAATAAATTGAGTTAGGTACCGTAGCCAAATCTCAATTTGTTAAAATCAGAAACACGGAAAGAAAAATTGTACAAGCCACAATCAATAGAAATAACATTCAGAAAAGTAAGTCGTGTGCCCAAAGAGGCTAAACAAAAATTTATGTGTACATTTATAACAGTAACAATAAAATAGTTCATATTAGGATGTATTTACATAGATGTACAATTTTAAATACTGTACCCGGTACTTATCTTGTTTAATTGCATGAAAAACTCAGTGCATTAAAAATCAGTAGTAAAAGTTTGCATATAATGAAAATCTTTGGTATCTAAACACAGGTGGCTATATACTATTAACTAAAGCCTTTTAAGCAACAACTTTTGCTGACATGAAACAATATTTAAAAGTAAAAAAATGGATGAAGGAAATGAATTTAAAAAATGGTATTGTGGTTAAAAATGGATAAATACACACTGACAGCAGTGTAAGAAATATAATCTTTTAAATTAGTTTACAAAATGAAAGAATCAGTTAAGCATTTAAAGACTTTAACATTATCAGGGAACTAGTTTTATTTATATTTAGTTGTTATAGATTTTAAAAGATCATCATTCATTGTTTTAAACATGTTTTAATGAGAAACAAAATAGCGTTTTTTTTTCAATTTTATCTTGGTGACTGGATAAACTGAAGTGTTTCCCAAATATTATTTCCAGAAAAATTTTATTTTTTAAGTAAATACTGTCAAAATCTTAAGCTTTAAAGTGTTATAAACCCCATTGTCCTTAAAGTGAAACAGACAGAAAACATTGAAATTATTTTGATTAATTAATAACAATTATGAAAATGACATTTCAGTTACCAGTACCCGGTATTGAATTATATTTTTAACTTTTAACTTGAAAATTCAAGCCAAGAAATAGTCATAGAAAAGATATTTAAGATGTTATGCTGCTGTACTGGTATTCTTCAGTCCCAGCAATGTAGACAACTATTCATGAAAGTTTCTACATAAAAAATATTGACATTGTGAGTTTCCTAATTGCGGCATGTTTGGCGTTCAAAACAACATTACCCAATACCAGGGAAAAAAGAATTTATAGCATGTGTTTCAATAAAAATACAGATCCCAATTTTAGAGATCTTTTTTATTCTTTATTGTTGATTGATGGCAGATGTGTTATCAATGTTGTTCTGGTAATAAAAATAAACAGATCTCAGGAAGCATATTTTATAAAGGTTTGTGTGTACTTTGATTTTTGAAATATTTGTAAAGGGTCATTCATGTCAAGCAACTTTGCCAAAATCTCAGAAACACTATGAAATCAAATACATTACAACCTCAATCAACTGAATGGAAATAATGCAATAGGCCCATTTTGAATGAGATTTGTGTGGATGGGTCCTATGATGTCAAGATGTCTAAGCTGAAAAAAGTAACCTTAATTTTATGTATTTATGAAATTTGAAAAGAAAATACTTTGAAATGATATAAAAAGATGACTAGAGGTGTAAGTATATTTTTTGTACAAGGTTCCCAAGATATATTTACAAATTGATTAATTTAAATAAATGTTTCAAACCATTTACCAAACTTTATATTTGTTAAGACCAGGGTGACTGGGATCAAAACAATAGACCCCTTGCTATGTCTGACTTTTAGAGCGAAGTTTATTTTATTGGGATGATGGACGGAAATGATAATCACAGCGTTAGACTTTGCTGGAACAAGAACAACTTTTCTGTGAAGCTTCTCTAGCTTTGTGAAACACTTGAAGTAAGTCTTAAGTTGTAAAGCCATTTCATCCCATATCTGAGACAATTATATTATATCACATTTTTAATTTAAAAAAACCCCCCAACAACCCAGTACCAGTAGTTTGGAATGTCCATTATCAAGAAATAAATAAAACATTTAGTCAGTACCACACCCAATTTAAATTTAAACTCTGCTTTTTACAACAAAACGTTATTACAGTTTGATATATTTTAAATATTTACAATATTTATCACCTATTTTACAATGTTAGCGTATACCTTTATAAAAAAAAAAACAAAAAAAATGTTTTTATAAAATAAATGAATTTCTGGACCTTAAATTCAAATAATTAAATTTACAAGAGTGTAACACAAATGCTACAATAAATTTTACCAGTGTCTTGCAGATGCTTATACAGGTTTGAGTAGAGTCACATAGAAATTATTATAATACATGACCAATGTCATGTTTGTGAACATAGATTTGACCTGTGTCACATGCTAACAGAATCGACAGGTGTCACATTGTCGCCAACTTAATTTGAAAATCATCAGATAGGTGGTTTCATAGATGTGACTAGTTTCACACAGATGTTAACATTGATTTGAACAGTGTCACACGGATGTTAACATTGATTTGAACAGGGTCACACGGATGTTAACATTAATTTGAACAGGGTCACACGGATGTTTCCAAAGACACATTTGATGTAAACATCAGATGGTTGTCCCATGACATGGTAGTTGAGCTGGCATCCTGCAATGAACAAGAGTAACAATAATGTGAAAAATTATTTTACAATAAATAGAATTATATGCCTTAAAATTGCACAAAAATTCACATTTAACCCTTTGAACCTTTGGCTTTTGATAAAAAAAAATGCCCATGAAAGAGGGCTCCTGTGGATATTTCCACAAACTGACACACAAACAAACAAAATCACATGATTATAAAATTAAATAAATTTTACTTATATCAATCTAAATTTGTCTGTTAATAGTCCATAAACTGTATCACTAAGAGAAAATTGTCTTAGAGTCTGTGTAGAATAGCATAGTAGAATGTTATTTATAGGCCCCTATTTTCATAAAAAACCAGGGCCTAGTACAAAGGGTAGATATTGTGTTATTTCTTTTATTCCCAATGCACGCATCCATAGCACCAGTTGTTGATCATAACTATCATTGTCTATTTGCTTTATTTTAATCCTTTGTCAAAAACATAACAAAAACAATGCATCAAAGGGCACAGCCATTACTGTGATCTTTCACAAGTCACATGGTAAACCCTGGACACAATATTTACACCACATTTTCATATACAGACTATCAATCTAGGGTAACATATGGGTCTGGCAAGGTGTGGATTTTTAACGCTCAGACTGATAAAGGGGGATCCTGGGTTCAAAGGGTTAAAACAAACAACAATGTTTAGTTTAGTTTTAATTCAGTGCTATTTTTAGAAAGTCTTAAGATGTTGAGACTTCCAAAGCAGAAAGTAGATGCATTTTAAATAAAAGTGTAGTTTATTCTGCTATATTTAAAAAAAAAATCAGCTGAATTTAATATTTCATTAAAGTAAAATTAAATTTTACCAAAAATCATTTCTATACATTTTCTGTCTGTAACTGTAACTACTATAGGAACTTTAGTAGATCATCTATTTTATCGTCTCCAAACAAAGATCTTAGAATGAATTTATTATTATTTGCTGAAGTAATTAAATAAAAAAAATTAATAGGTTATATAATAAATGCTGGCAACTTAATTTAGCATAAATGATTTATATATGCTGAGGTATTAACTCATTTGCTGCAGAATTTTTTTTTTCTAAAAATTGTACATTTTTTTCTAAGAGCGGAAAAAGAGTGAGAGGTTGGGTTTATTAAAAATTTAAAAAAATATTCTTTGGTTTA